GGAAAGAAATTCCTCTCTATAGACATATCTGAGCCAAAAATCCTTCTTTCTTTTTCCCTCTTCTCTTTCCATTCCCCAGGACTCCAGCTGCATGCGGCATATTTAATGCAGGATAGTAGGTAGTTAGCCTGTGACAAGGAGGCTTTTATGAGGGACTCATAAATACATGAGAGTTATGATGTTCCTTTCTCAGTCTCAATCTTATTAACGCCCCCCACCCCTTCTTATAGGAGATTCAACATTTCCTCTCCTTCACAGAACCGTGAGAGGCAGTGTAGTTTAGTTGCTGATAGCACAGTCTTTGGGAGCAGACAGACCTGAGTTGGAAACTCTTCATGGGATCTTGGTTCTATTTCTCAACCTCTCTAAGCTTCAGTTTTTTTCATTTATAAAATGCAACTAATCTCTATGCCACAAGGATGTTTTAAGGACTAGAATCAGTATGGTATGTAAAGAGGTTAGCACAGTGTCTGGCTCATAGTGAGAACCTGATAAATACTGAATACTATTATTCTCGATAAATTTAGTGTGGAGTTCTTCAGTCTCCATAGTTGTTCCTTGAGGACTGGCACATGATTAAATGATTCTCCTAATCTTGATTTTTCTAGGGACATTTCTAGAAATTCTGTCATTTAATTTTCTGAAATAATCATTTCTATATATAGACAATTGAATAGAGTTCCGAAAACTGTCCATTTGAGAAAAGACATCTCAATAATCTCTATGTACTTTGACAGGATGTATATAAATGTTGATAGATTATGTCCATCTTACTGATGATTGAATCAAAATCAAAGGCGTTAAATTCTTATTATATGTACCAGGGAGGTCATAGACTCTGGACGTCTCTTAAGTTATGAACAGTGTGAGAATCTGATGGAACCTACAAACCATTCCCCCAGAAAAAGGCCATATAGAGACTCAGAAACAATTCTGCATCTAGTTTCAAAAAAGTCCAGGGATTCCTGGAAACCCATTCATGTATTTCATAGCAATCTTTGGGCCCCCTATTTTAAATAGTCCATTAGAATTTAGAAATCAACAGATTAATGAGGCTGGATCATTCTTGGGTCATTTTCTTCTATACAAGCAAAGAGACTTTGAAATTTTAGAAATCAGAGATTACAATTTTAAAATGTCAGTTTTCGTGTAAAATTAACATTATATGGGTGTTTGTACCGTACTGGTCACTAGACTAGGATGGGCTAGGCCTGGCAAGTTATTTTTACACACATCTGATAGATATTGGGTAGAGAAGACTTAATATTTTAAGGATAGTTTTCTTTTCAACAGCTCCCTAGAGCTATATCCTGAAATCTTAAGTATCTTAAGACTGTTTCACCACCTGTGTGTAACTGCTTGCCTTCACGGGACCTTATTTTCTTTTATTCTGGACTTCCCACCACAAACCTCAACAATTTATGTTGGATGATCTATATATGCTGACACCTTCAATTTCAAATTGGAGAATCTTATAAGAGGTTAGAGGAAAAAAAAAATCATCTGATCTGACCCTTCCATTTTATAGATGTTAAACTGAGCCCTCAATTAGGGATTAATTTGCCTAAGGTCACATAGTTAGTCATATGCCTAGAACTTAAAACTAGGCATTTCTTGCACTTTTCACTGCTTATATTATTTTCCCTCAAATTTGGTTTGGATCTGCTGATGCCAGCCTTAGCTTGTGTCCACAGACTTTGCTCTCTGTCCATTCCCTTCCTGTTATAAGTAAACTCAGATTCCAAACAGCTCTTCTATTGGATTCAAAAATTTCAACTGTTTCTCTGTTTCCAACTGAGCACCTGGATTTGCTCTTCCCTTACCAGACATCTTCCCAGACCATCTAAGTAGGTAGACTCTTGGTATGAGCCTTGCCAGTCCTCTCTTGCTTAGCTACTGTGGCCATCTCCTAGCTGTGATACAAGCGACTAAACCATAACTCCACAGGTGGCCCTGGGGCTCTGGGAGCTACACTGGACTCCCTTGGACAAACACTCAGCAACTTCCAGCTGTGGCATATGCCAAGGTGCTCTACCCTTCTGCTACTGTGAACCTTGTCTAATGTACACAATGTGAGAGAATATGGATGTTCTTCTACGATATCCTTTTTATTAGGAAGGATAATAGTAGTTTATAAGTTTAATCGCTTCCTCTATCATGCAACCATAGCACCTACCTCAACATTTAAGTATTTCTCACCACACATTAGAAACCAGAAATGAGGATAAATAAAAAGTCATGGATATTAAGTATTAACTATAGGTTACCTATTATGAAGGGAAAAAATGTTAAATCCTTTTTTAACATCATACACTAAAATAAATTCCGGAGGAATTTAGGACTTAAATATGGCAAAGGAACTGTAATAATAGACATATAAATAAATGTTTGTCTAATTTTGGAGTTGTAAAGATTTTTCTGAGCATAAAAACAAAGGTAAAAGCCTTAAAGAAAAAGACTGACAAATATAATTGTATACATATTAACGTCATTACATTAAAAATTGCATATAAATAAAATTAAAAGGTAAATGTTAAACTGACCAAGCGTTAAGAGCTTTTCCTAAACTAAGGCCATAAAACAAGTCAAGGTCATAAACAAGCAATCATAGATGATAAATCACCAAAGAATATAAAATGTCAAGCTTCATTAGTAATGAAATAAAAGCATATGAAGATAAGATATCATTTTTATGTATCAAAATCGCAAACATTTTAAAGGTAACAAAAGTAGCTTTAGTAAGGGTTTAGAGAACTGGCACTTTCACACATATATCCTGCTGGTGGTAATATAAAATGATACAGTCAACAGTAACTTGGCAATATGTTTCAAAATTGTTAAAACATGCTTGGCCTTTGACCCAGAAACTCTTAATTCTGAGTGTCTATCCCGAGGAAATTATCAGAGATGGCAACCAATGTTTACGGATGAGGGTGTCTAAGCATGATTAGATAAGTAATAAAATTTGCATTTATATAATGGAATACTCAAAAAGATAAAAATCCTGTTTTTAATTCTCATGTCCTCTGACATGTTATATTAGCTCTAAGACTGGGCTTATATAACCTGAGAAAAAGGATGTTTTATAAACTTGTCGTTCCTAATACTACCCACAGGAAATTATCTGGACAAAGTCTTTCCTGGTGGGAAGAAACAGAAATGAGAAGGCCTTGCAGCTGAGTGGGAGGAGAATTGAGAGGAAAGCATAGGAACATTGCATAGCATAGGAACAAAGCATAGGAACCAGGTCAAGGAACATTGATTTGGACATGAGAAAGTGCTCTTGACATACTGTAGGGTGGATTAAAAGAATTACAAATTAATGTGTATATATTAAGATTAGAATTTTGTAAGATATGTGTGTATTAAATCTACACTGAGATGTTAACTGGAAGAGAGCTTATTTTTATTTTTTTTTAGTCTTCTACTATAACCATGTATTCAGAAAACAAAATACGATATTAGAAAGGAGGAGAAGCAGCCTTAGTAATGGTAATTAGAAGCTTTTGGGGCCTTACTTTGCTTCCAGGGCCAGAGCAAAGATGCCAGCAGCCAGGGGTGCCGAGGCCGAGGTGCCCGTGTGGGTCTCTGTGCAGTCATTGTGCAGGTCAGCGCTCGTCTGGATGGCATCGAAAAAGAAAGAAATGCGGGAGAACATGTGAGAAGTGTGATTCTGTCCCCAGGGGTTAACCATACTGAGTGCTGCATCTGCTATGATCAGGAAACTCGGTTGATTCGATTCCCTACTTCCTCCTCAAAACCACAGGCGGATGTTTGCCATCTGCTGATATTTTAGTTTGGTCTCCTCTATACGCAACTTGTCTGTAATTCTGGCACCAAGATGCCTTTTCTGGGGATGAAGTACTCCCACAATGAATATTTTCTCCTCTGAGATTCCCAAACGAAATGTTTTCTGTAAAGAAGGGACTGTTTCAGAATCACTGTGAATCATGCCGGCCCATTAATCATCAGGTCCATTGTGTTTGGTCTGGCATATTTAGAAATTCTGCCTCATGCAAAATTCCCTTTTGCTTTCAGATTGACATCTGACTGCCTCTTCACATGAATGTAAAGCCATTCTGATTTTGGCCACTTGAACTAAATTTGTTTAATGTGTGGTGTGCACTCACCGTTGATGTAATTTTACGCCCACATTGACACCTTGATGAAAATGGTGAGTTTTTCAAATGCAAAGTGTGCTAGATTTAGATCTGGGTCCAAATTCTAAAATTGCTATTTAGTAGATGTGTCTCTTGGGCCAGTCACTTGGTTTCTCCAACTGTAAAATGAGGTTGACATCTTCTGACTCATATTCTGAGGCTGAAATGTGATCCTGTCTATGAAAGCATTTTCATATAACATTATTGTACATAAAGAATTACCCAGACTAATTTTAGCTTAATTGAAGAGGTTGCCAAGATGAAGGGAAGAAATCAAAAAGAATTCCAATTAGTCTACCATAAGGACCACAGCGCTGCTGGTTGAACAAGTAGTCGGGCCAAAAGATTACTAACAAGACACCCACCCAGGCTCTTGCACTATGGTTTTTAGTTAGAGACTTAAATGTGTGGGAGGGAGGTGTAAAAAAATAATTTGTTCTATTATCACCTCCTTTGGCTTCCCACTTGGAGTCTCTGAATTTCTTAAGTTGTGGTGGCTCTGCTCCTCAGAGGGTTGCAGAAGCAAGGATGCCCTTTTTACCTGTTGACGCAAGTAAGCCCCCAGAGATGACTGTGCTGAGGAAGAGTTTTGCGTAAGACAAAGGCTATGTTATTGCCACGGTCTCAAATAGAATTCACCAGCTGTCTCTCCTGTGGCTGATTTACCTAAGGAGAGATCTTTACAAAGATAGAAATTCTTCCTTCTATTTCAGAGCAGAGTAGCTCAGATGAAGTGCAGTGTGTGAAAGGGTGACTCTGAAGTAAATGCATAATAGGCCATTTTTCTCAAAAGCAACTCAGGGCACCTAGAGGGACAGCAGCAGCCAGGGGCTCTGAAGACAAGTGGAAAACATGTCTGACGTGCCCTGTTCAAAGGTTATAAAATATGCCTGCCATACAGAACCCCTGGGTAGAATGTCACTGTCTATTATTTGTGTAATTGAAGATGTGGGCATGAGAGGGAGGCCAGTGCTTTTAAGTTGAGACCACAGTTTTACTGTCTAGAGTAGGTCACAAGATGCAGGCAAAGTCCCAGAACAGTGATTCTGTATGAAGAAGACAGTAGTTCTACAGTTTTGTTGAGATGCTATTAATATGAATTTTACAAACATTTCAAGGTTTAAATATTATGGGGTTCACCCATAATCTAATTGAATTATGACCTGTTATTTCATTGAGATTAGGATTTATATACTTTAGCTAGTTGTTTTTTTTCTGTATCATTTGTTAAATTTGGGGCTTTAAAGTTTTAAATTAAAAGTGACTCTCTGTTCTCAAAGCCCCTGAATGACCCTTCTTCATTGTGCCCTTGAAGGGAAATCCAATAATTGCCCTTGGCAGTCTGACTCATGGAAGTGAAGACACAGCCAAGCGTGGGCTGGAGATGCTCTCTGAGCATATAACCTTCCTGAGCTGCTTATTCGGATGCTGAGAAGTTCACCTCAGGGGAAATTTAGACTGTTATTTTTCTGCAGGTTGTTGGTTCTTAGGAGACATAGCTGGTGTATGCTCTGTATTTTTATCATCTGCTAAAGGGCAAGTCAGACCATATCCCTACTATTAAAGGATCAACAAGTTCAGAATGATAAAGCCCCTACAGCCTTGCAATCTCCTTTAAGGCTGTTTGCAGGGAGGTATCACACAAGCTGAATAGACATTTGGAGTCTCAGACCATATGTAATGACAGATTGGTGGCTTCTCAAGGCTGAGTTTAAAAATGACCGGGAGGCAACCTCATCTTGGCAGCAGCATCGTTATCCCTGAGAGAGAAAAGTTCCCAATATATGCCAGTCTTTCAAGTGAGTAAAGCGTGAGTCTCCCCAATTGAGACATCAAGCTTAAACAAATCAACTTTACCAAAGGTACCGGCCAAAGGATCCTTTTGTATTCAAGTCGTGCTCTTCTACCCAAGCAGAGAGAGTTAGACAAAAGAAACATACGATTCGCTGGTCCATGTAATCCCCACTGCTGTATGAGGTGGCCAGAGTGGAGGAGCACTTCTCAGCATACCAGGGGGACAGGCCCTGCTGCGAGGCACTGCTGATGGAGATGGTGTAGATGCTGTCCGTGTACCCATCGCAGTCACAGTTATCTCCCTGACGCCCCCCATTCCCGGAAGCCCAGACGAAGATGGAACCCTTTCCTTGCCTCCCCTAAAGGAAAAGCCAGAATATATCACACTTATTATCATCCATTGGGGTCATCGTCACAGCCCAATAAAATTCCCAACAAAAACATGCATGAATTTCTCAGAGACAGTTATTTGTAGTCTGTTTCAACTCCAGGTCCTCCAGCATCAATGTTGGAAATCTCACAAGACTTCATATTATAAGCCGCTGGGTTCAGGCTCTGCTAGTCCTCCTTTACCCTTTCTGGGATGGGGCTGAGTGAATGATTTTCTTTCTTTCTTTTCTTTATTATGTGGATTCATAATCTGGCCTTTAGCACTCACTCATCTTTTTATGCTCTTCCCTTGGCTTATGTCACTATGCTTGAATCTTTGAACTTCCTCTCTTCCTGCTTGAATCTTCTGGCTGACTAACAGAATGACAAAATCAGGCATTATTCAGATCTGCTTTGCAGCTGCATTAATAGGGACTCTTCAATTGAATGGAACTCGTCAAGGCTACTCTTTCTATGGTTTTTCAATTTGCTTTCCAAAGTTTCTACTTTTGTTTCACCCTGTGCAGAACAAGGCCTTAGAATCCTGGCAAGAATGCAGTAAACCCAGGTGACAGAAACATAACCAAGGCACATGTATTCACCAGGCGCATACAGTGCGGGAAGTAGCACTCTGCTATATTTAAGGATGCATTTTCAGAGCATTTGAAACAAGTCTTGGTAGTAGTTTACCTAGTGTAAAAATCCAAAAGCATCAGGACAATGAGAAAAGTCACATCTAGAATATTTTGTAAGTATATATTTTAAGAGTAATGAATTTCTGTTGAATGTCAGACCCAAATGGGGAAAAATTTCTTAACTCTTAATGTCTGTCCATCTGAAGAATGATTTGCCTCTCAAAATGCACTTCAAATGGTTAACAACTACAAGAAATTCACAAGCATTTTTTTCCATATAAGCTAAATATTTTTCCTGTCTCCGCATATCCAAATGGTCAGGTTTCATTTCAGATAGGTCTATGTTAAGCATCTCACCTGTTTAACACCATATTCAAAAGCCTTCTGGGCTAGTCGGCCAGGCCCCTCCACAGTTTTTCCGTCATCATTAGGGCCCCAGCTCGCACTGTAAATATCCACATGTCCGGGATTGAATCCAATTGAACTTGCTTCAATAGCATCGGTCACGATGCCATCTAGCATTCTTATGCCTGAGCAGCAAAACAAACAAACAAATACATAAATTGATGTCAGTGTGTACATGTAGAATGGCATAGAGCTCTTAATATTCATTTTTAAAAAGAATTTCCAAAGGAGTCAAAAACAGAGTAATCGCTGGATGTCTCAAATGCCCATGAGCCAGTTGCTAACAGGATGGAAGGAAGATACAAGTCACTGCCTCCATGAGCTTTCTTATTTGCCCTTTAGAGATAACTATACGTGCTGTGCAGTGGCCCTGGTTGTTGTCAGTTATAACTCTCCACTATACCAATAACCTGAAATTGACAGGATAGCTTTTAGAAAGAGGCATCAAACAGCCCTCCCTTGACACACCTGCTCGTGACTATACAACAAATGTCTGTGGCCCAACCTGTGCCATACATGACTATATGGGAAACTGTGCTGCTTGAAAAAGTCTACCCACAATAGAAAACTA